TACTGTAAATAAAAAACATTCTTCTCCAATAGAAGTCCAGTATGATTTGCCACGCACAAGTTCAGTAGATGTTGTGTTAGACAGCACTAGCAGGTAATGTGGTGATGTCTGCTATGGAGTAGTGTTATGTTCCATTAATAAGAAAACCATCTGCAGGTCACCAATTTTTTAATTTCATTTCTAACCACAGAAAAAAAAAAATCTTTATCATTATTTATATCACAACAGGCATTTTGATCATTAACTCATGACATAATGTAACAGTAAGTTCTAATACTGCTTGATGGAATAGAAAAAAAATGCTGCGCTACAAAAAAAAAAAAAATCCCACACCATTCTTAGTAGTACAAGAATGAAGAAAAATAATCTTGCTTTGCCCAAAATGACACTCTGAAGAGCCTCCATTCTTTATGAAAATACACTCAGGATAAAGACAGAGAATGCAGTCTCTATTTCTATTCAAAAGCCCGTGCTTCATTCAGAGCTGCCAATAAGCAGAGCAATAAACAGCCACCGAAGTCCCATATTCTGTTACTTGATCACCACAAAGTCTCACTGATACCTACGAGCTCTTTACACATACATCCAAAAGCAGAAACATTACACGATCGCTATCCAGATGGATGCACAGTGTCATCACCATACAGAAAATTAAATTAATCTATTTCCTCCAGTATCCATAGGATTCATTTGGAAATTTTTCCTGTTCACCAGGAATGATCAACTGGGTGTTTCCTTAGATAACAGGGCAGAATTACAGGATCTCTTACAGCGAGAGTTCAGTAACTGAAACATACACAAAACACATGGCAAATCTCAAGAAAGTAAAAAAAAAAAAACAAACCAAAAACCAAAAAAACCCCAAAACCCCACAAACCCACAGAAAATTCTACCACAATACAAATTTTATGGGATGGAAATCATTCTCAGGTTTTGAAAAGTGCACTGACTGTTGTCAAAGGTTAAGCAAGAATCTTAAGACACTTGTGTACCTTGTTAAGTTCTTCAATTCTCCTAATGAGATATGGATTGCTGGAAGAATTTTCAAAATAAACATAATCTGCAATGAAAAAAGGAAAGATACTGAAATAACAAAAAATAATACGTAAAAGCATATCATTAGTAGTGCAAAAATTTTCTTCTAAACCTAGAAGGTGTTAAAAAGCTGAGATTTCTTAGTAATTGTTCAGACAGTGAAGTATTTCTGTGCTGAGATTTAACATCACTTGTTCCTAAGTTCTGGTTATAACTGTACTGCATGTGCTTTAACAGTCATACTGAAATAAAGTTAAATGCCTTGTGTTAGAGCTTACATCATAATTCAGTAATCCACACACTTCATAAATCTTGATATGAAAGCAGCGGTTTCTCACAATTGATTACGGAAGATTTAAGAATCGAGCGCTTTAGTGAGTTTCCATATTATGGAGATAAATATTTCTGTAAGATATGCTACCTCACATTTATTATCAGGTGCTATGGCAGTACAGTTGTCCGAATGAGTAATGTGCATTTTATGATACTTGCTTTTGTTGTCATCTCTGTTCAGCAACATGCAAACTATATTAAGCAGCAATAGTCACGAGGTTAGTGAGGTTCTTCCAGGACAAAATCCCTTATAGCATCATTAACATAAAAATATTTTCATAGAGTATATGGAAGTTTACTCATATCCTGAAAGCTGCTCCCATGCAACATACAAAGAATTGACATGCAGCGTATTTCCTTCAATAGTTTTCTCAAAACTTGTTTTCTTCAAATGCAGAAGTACCCGTCAAACGCTAATCACACTTTACATTTGATATCTGACTTATGCACCATGCAACTTCCAAATTTTATTCAAAAAAAATTGGGCAGGGGGACCATAATGATGCATGAAACCCTTCTGCAGTGCTTTGACACTACATTACAGTGAAACAGAACCTCAGGGAGACTGTTTAGCTCTAAAGAAAGAATATGATCTCTGGAAATTGTTCACAATTACTTATTAAGACTACAACGAAAAAAAAAAAAAAAGACAGCGAATTTATGACCTAAGAAGCAAACCCTACCCAGGTTTCAACAGCACTGCTCAGAGAAGGATTACTTTCATGAGTAAAGGCTGATGGGATTACAAGCTAAATGCCCTAATGAAGGAGTATGCAGATGGACAAGTTGTGGATCTATCAGCATATCTCAAAACAGAAGCAGAAAGGGATTCAAACTACCTGCTATCACCCCTCATTTCCTCACATCTTCCCTCTCACCTCAGGCTGTTGAGGGCGGGAGGAGACAAAGCCATTTTGGTAGCACCAAGTACTGAGAACCCAACTTGAGCAGTGCACCTGAGCCACGGCGCTAGGAACACAGCCACCTTCACTCCCGAAAGGAGGGCAGTGGGAAGTTACCCGTGTCTATTTCGACAGGCCGAGGGGTTGGAAAAGAGACGCTTGCCTGTGTTTTTTTACCGTCTAAGCGCCCCCCCCCCCCCCCCCCCGCCTTCGCCCAGTGCCAAGCAGTCCCGCATCAGCGCACTCCTCAGGGGTCACGCCGGTAAGCAGGGAAGCTGACAGAGATCCCCCGGTTACGCAGCCGGATTTATTATCTATCCCCGGGAGATGAAGGAAAGCGCGGAGAAACTCCGCCGCTGAAGGGACGGTGCGGGGGCAGGGAAACGGCAGGGAGGGAAGCGCGGCCAGGCGCCCCCCGCC